CACATGATCGGTTAAACGTGAACCGAGCCATTCGGCGTGGTGGGCGTTAAAATCGCCAAGGATCACGATCTATGTGGATGGGACCTGCAAGGAATCTGTAGCCATTTAGATGTGGTCAGGTCAGTGACAGGTCCGAAACTTCAAGCCTGCCGAGGCGTCGAGAACAGATGTCCTCTCTGACATATAAGTAAACTCCAGCCCGAGTCACAAAGTTGTGTTCCAATTTGTATCCCGGGTAGGAGAGATACGAAGTATCAGCCGGAGAGGACACCTGCATCTCGGTCAGAAAGTGAAGTCCCCTTATGTTGCAGAAATTCACGGATAGCGTGGCAGGGGTCGCCTTGGTCTTATTGCAGTATTTATCTTGAGCTGAAGTTGAATACCCAGAGAGGAGTGGAGTTGCTTGGTCGTGAATGCTCATCGAGGGATTCTCCAGGGGTGCTGGTACCCTCCTGGGGTAGTCTTATATTTAATTCCGCTAGCGTGTTGATGGGCGGGGGGGGGGGGGGCTGCCGCGTGGCTCTAGTACTATTAAAACACACTGTTTTTACCACACAATATTTCACATCTTTGTCATGTCTACCATCCAACACACATCCTAATTACACAAACTTATCCACTTGCTCAACCAACTTCCCTTCTATTCTTATTTTCACATATTTCGTATTACTTTCTTCCCTTTCAAAAAACATAACTTTTTTTGCGTTTACTTTCATTCCCATTTCTCAACCGACTTTCAAAAGGAGGAGGTTTGCAATTCGCTGGAACCTTTGTTTTTTTTATGTATGTTCACCGATTACTAGAAGACCCCTGAACCGATTTCGAATTTTTTTTTGTTTCGAAGGATGTATTTTTTTCTTTCCAGGGGGTCTCATTTAAATTTTATCGAAATCGGTCATGCGGTTTAAAAAAGAATCAACAATAAATTATATGTATATTGAAGTTAGTTATTGTTACATGTGACATTTCACATTTCACCACATTATTTGAAACTCCGCCACCGGCGACTCACTCACTCACCCATGCTTAACCCACACTCTTCAACTTTTAAAGAATTCACATAACTCTCACAACCCTACCTGACATCTTTATGGGTGCAAAACCAATCGATGTGGGCGCCGTTAATCCTGACACAAGCAGTAGAGTCCCTAAGAAGCGCAAACGAGGTTAGCATTTGACATAAAGGAACTCTATCCACTCTGTCATAGATCTTTTCCAAGCCTTAAAAACTTTCGCAGGTTTTGGTTTAAAACTTCTCCGTACATCTCATCTCCGCAAAATACCCGGACTACAACGACAGACGTATATGTCCAGCAGAAGACACTTACAGACTGATGAAGACATAATTCCTTCTATAGGAGAATGTGACCTTCCTGGTGTTTTCGATAGTCAGCTATTAAGGTACCACAGGTGAGGTGAGGTGAGATGATGGCTGAAGGATTCTGTTCGACAACAAGACGAAATAAAATTGATTAACAAATATGTAGTAGTAACATCACACGTGAAACATATTGATCGATTAGGTAGATATCGCTGGTTCATTATTTTATTACCTCCACTATTTCATTGATAATTGATTAGAAGAACGATAAGGTACTTAAACCAAGACATTTTACAACTAACCAACGAAGTGCCACTTCAAAATGAAAGTCTGTGTTGTTATAACTTTAGTGTGCTTAACTACAATTATCAAAGGTAAGTGGTTAAAATACTCTATGTTGAATGTGGGGGTTGTTCAAACTGCAGTCGTATTTTTTAATTACTTAGTATTGCATTCTACCACGTCAAATTAATTAATTATACAGGCTCGTATTTAAACTGATTCGTTCATGTGTTTGAACTACTTGAACTTTTCCCTATTACAGTCATAAAATAAAAAAAAATATTAAGAAAATCTTATATATCTATATATATATCTACTATAAAATGGATGAATAATTTTTTGACGTAGGAGAGCCACGCTGCAGCTGTACTATTGTTGCAGCATGAATAGGTAGCCTTGACCGGGAAAGAACTATGCTCTTATAGAATACTAGCGTAAAATAGCAGCTTAATGCTGCTGTACTTGGTAACGTGAGTGTAGAGAACTGGAGACCATTTTTACTGGAAACAAGGGCTTCCATCTTAGTCCTCATAGTCGACAACGCAGCTGCATTTTGATTCTTAATCGAGGGTATATGTAGATGTCTATGGGCCACAGCACCACATGCCATCACGTGGGCTTCTATGGGCTACAGCAGCCACATATCTATCTATCACGTAGGTCATGTGCTCGTTTGACTCACTCAATTTTATTAAAAAAAAATGGATATTTTAAAAATTACTTAGTAGTACTTAGACCATATATGGCATTAATTTTAAGTCAAAGATTATATTCTAATAACGTTAGCGTGGTACTTCCCCGGTCAAGCCAAACCAACCATAATACATACAGGTGCTGCGTAGCTCTACCACATCAAAGTATTTTTTCATTTATTATAATATTTTAGTACGCCTTTTTAATAAGATTGCCTTTGCATATAATAATAAAAGTTTAAGTAGTTCAAACACATTACCGTTATAAATATAAGCTTCAGATAATTGATTCTATAATTTGAGATATGAGCAAATAATTTTAAATACCTACGTTTTTACTAGCTCTAAATGTGACAAAAGGCAAAAAGCAATTATAAAACTATTAGGAAGTTAAAAATTTAATTGTTACTAAATGTGTTAACAAAATCTTGATATTACAAATCGATTTAATCGAACTGCAATTTGGAATTAATTTGAAAATATCAGCAGCGTTTCGTGCTCCGGCCGTTATTTCCTGTTGCCTTGTTTTTTTTTTTGTGAGTAAAAACGTTACATCCACACTAGGATTTTCTCCTGTATCGTGGTTAGTTCTCCTGTATCGTGGGGGCAGTTTACATACATAATGTTCACAAGGACAAACATCTAAACCCGGAACAATTATTTGTAGGCCATACAAATACTTGCTTCGTGCGGGATTCGAACCCGCGGCCCTTGGTGCTGCAACTTATTGCTAAGCCACTGCGCCACGGAGCCGCCAAATTGTCGTTTGTCATACAAATATTCCATTACAGCCTATAAAAGTCCACTACCGCATATATGCCTCCCCCATACCCATACCCCCAGTTGAAACAATAAACATATTGTATGTGCATGCCTTAAACGCATTAAAAAATATGTATAACATGACTTTACGGATTTTTTTTAATTATAAATACACACAAGTTTTCACTAATAACCTTATTATACTTCCAATGTTTCGATAATTTTATGTCAAACTTCAATTTAAAAAAAGTTTGCAAAATTCAAAAAGTCCAAGACGTATTTAAGTATGAATATACTTAAATACTACTTACTTTTAGTACGTACTACAATTATTTATTCTGTGCTTATAATAATAATCAAGTATGTATGAAATTTGGTTATTCGAATATATTGTATTTGTACAGTGATGTTTTTGAGCCGCTGCAAACAATCGATACAGTATCCACTCACGACGCCGGTTGACGCCGAAATGACAAATGAGTGAGTGAGGCACTGAGGCAATCTATTTAGTAAAATAAATTAATACAAGGCTACTAAAACACCGAAAATTTCGACATTTCGCAGCCGAAAAAAATATAATTATAACTAAACAAAACAAAATTAATACTGCCATTTACATTCCATGGTTTCCCACGTGATAGATGAAGAGATTAAAAAATAAATTGAGTTAAACAATTGATATTTTCAAAAGTCATCGTGTTTACCACTCCATGCGGACTTGATAAATCTACATCATAAGCCACTAAAACCACTTTTTTATGTAAAAAATAGCAATTAATCGATTTAAAGAAAATATTTATAAGTTCAACAATCATTTATCTTTCTGACAATGTTTTTATATCATTTATGTGTGCAATATGATTGTTAGATACGATTTTATGCGACAAAACCTTGGAATCTTGATTTTTACGCGCTAGTAAACATATCTACGCGCTTTGCGCTTAAGGCATGCATTATGTAGGTGGGTTGGCATTTACAATTTGAAGTTGTTATAAGGAAGATGCTGCCAAACTCCTGTTTCAGTTTTTTATGGCGTCCATTGGACGATATGATGCAGTGGATATTCTTAAACCGCCACATACACGTATACATATGTATGTGTGCCGACTTATAATTTTCATTCATTCATTTAATCATTAATTGCAGCCATTCAAAGTCCACTGCTGATCAAAGGCCTGCCCATAGATTTGCTATATAAGGAAATATTTTAATAGTTACCGTGCTCGGTAGGTCGGTCGCAGCCACAGTTTTTAAAATTTTATTATGTTAAAGGAAGACGTCACTGCCCATCTCCCGGTTTGTTTACCTCTAACACATCTTACGATACCTACGACACGATCCTCATACTACTACTGTTCTTTAACTAATAAATGACCCTCCACCATAAGATCTTTTTACTGGAAACGAGGCATTCCATCTTAGTCCTCTTGAGTCCAAAAGGCATCTGCATTTTAATTTGGAAGAGAGGATAAATGCAGATTTCTATATGCCACAGTAACCAGTAAAAAGTTATGAGGTAACACATAAAAAAAAAACAAAACCATACAGTCGAATTTAGTACCTCCTCCAGTTTGCAGTCGGTAGAAAATACAGTCGAATTGGGTACCTACTTTTTTTTGAACTCGGTTAAAAAGTAAAGTTTAAAATCATTTAATATGTTACACAATTAACAGCAGAAAACAGCAACAGAACACAAAAACAGCTTGGTAGCGATCACCTCATTCCCAGGGGTAATTATGAAAAAATATAGAAAAAATGTAGAGATTTGTAAAAAGGTAATGCGAACAAATGTATTAAGAGTAAAGATATTTTTTAAGTTTTATTCCCGCCGTACATACATTTCGATAAACCATCACCACGTCACCACTACCACAACCTACATTTTAACCTCAATTAAAGAATAATCAAGGTGTGGCATAGTAAACTTTCTGAAACCTTTACAGATGGTGCTACTGCTGGGTTCCTCACCACTATCGATAAATATCCATTTGCAACCGCCCTTCTATGCAGCTTCGGAAGTAGTAACTACAATAAGGCATGCGGCGGCACAATTTTAACAAATTCGGCGATTTTATCCGCTGCGTCGTGCTTTTACAACGACGACAATACGTAAGTATTGATCAAAGAGTATAATAAGTATATATATTGAGTGTTTTTCCGCAATTGATACTTTTTAATAGAAATAAGTTTACAAACGAGCACACAGTTTGGTTGCTAGTAATTTGATACTGTGGTCTAAAGACAGTTCACCGACCGTCGATTTAAACTGAAAATGCAAATGCGCTGTTACTCCAGAGACTAAAATGGAATGCCTTGATGTCAGTTAAAACGGTATCGTGTTCTCTACACTCAGTATACGGAATACAGCAGCTTTATGCCACCATTTTACGCTGAAATTCTTTAAATGTATGGTCCTTGCTCAATCGAGCCAAACCATTGTTTGGTGCAAGCATGATACAGTAGCGTGACTCTTCCACGTACGTATACATACATGTTGACACCGCTTAATCTTTGGTCTATTATTTATTCTGTGCTTTGGTGCAGAAAGTGCAAGAAAAAACCACTTAAAAATAAAAATGCCGTTTTAATAACTTTATTGTTATTTTGGCACAACTTAAACTTAACGTGCGGTGAAGTTCCTAAAGAAACTCCATCCGCGGCTGGTCGTTGCTGCTGGTGATAAGAGGGCTGGTTCTTTTCTCGCTCAAAGGCTAAGTATAGCCATTCAGCGTGGAAACGCAGCCAGCGTTGTTGGCACGATACCGCGGGGAGTAGGACTATATGATAAAGATAAAGATAAAGATAAAGGTAAAAAAATATAAAGGTGTTAAAAAAACTTAAAACGAGCTACATGTTTTGCCATTTATGGCGTACAAAAATAATACTTCGTATTTTATTAATTATACAAGATGAAAAACTAACCCTGCGGACCTAGTTCTAGATGTGCAACAATTTCAATGGCATCTCCTAAGATTACATGAGAGAAATGTCACAATTTAATATTTAGCTTTAAATAAACAATCATTTAAGAAATCAGGCAAGCTGTAATAACATTTGGCTATCAGATATTTTTTAAGATGTGGCTTAAAAAGTGTAGTAGACAATTGTCTGATGGTTTTGGGGATTTTATTATATATTATTGGCGCCAGACAGAAAATACTTTTATGCATCAATGCTGTTCTTGGTCTAATTGCGCATAACCTGTTATTATCCCGGTGATTGCGAATTGTAACGTCTGATAGTTTGTTAAACAATTTAGGGTTACTGTGAACGAAGTTTGCTATTTCATATATAAATAAGGAGGGCAAGCTTAAAATTTTGTACTTAATAAAATATGGTCTGCAGCTATCAGTAATTTTAAGACCAAACATAGCCCTGATGCACCTTTTTTGGGACTTAAATATAATTTCCTTATTAGTAGAATTTCCCCAGAATATGATGCCAAACCTCAAGATGGAATCAACAAAACCGTGGTAAGCCGTGAATAGCGCATCGGTGTTTACGACGGATGCGAGCTTATAGAGCGCATAAGCAGAAGAACTAATTTTCTTGTTTAGTTCTTCTGTGTGCGCTTTCCAGTTCAGACTTTTATCAATAGTTACACCTAGAAATTTTGTTGTGTCTACTTGGTTGATTTCTGTCCCTTGGTAATTAATGTTAATATTTGGTGATGCTAAGCGTTGACGGAAGTACATAATTTTTGTTTTTTGGAGATTTATTTTTAAATTATTATTATTTAACAAGTTGATTATTAAATTGATTGTATTATTTATGTCAGTTTCAAATGTATCCTTATTGATAGAACTTATTGTGACCGTACTGTCATCGGCAAAGAGCGATATTGGATGTTTTGTTATTCTTGGTAAATCATTTATGTAGATGATAAGCAACAAGGAGCCCAACACACTCCCTTGTGGGACACCATATTTAAGTATTTGTTTGTTTGATTTGAATGTTTCTTCTTTTTTTTGTGTTAATGTTTATTCTAAAAATTTCGGTATATTGTGTTCTATTTTTAGTATAGGATTCCATGAGATTTAATACGTTTCCTCTGATGCCATAGGTTTATAATTTGCTGAGTAGGATGTCATGGTCAACATAATCGAAAGCCTGAGTCATGTCGCAGTAGATCGCGCATACCGGTGTCCTTTTGTCAATATTCATCATTACTATATTTAAAAAATCAAAAATGGCCATATTTATGGTTTTATTTTTGCAGAATCCTATATGATAATTTAAGTTTCTAGTTTTAGTTTTTTTTTATTATTATTATTATAGTTTGTAATATTGTATATAATAAAATTAGATTTACTTTAAATAAAACAACTTTAAACTATGTATAAGTTCCCAAACAAAAATATTGTATTAAATAAAATTTTATATGTACGTCATTAATGATAATATAAATTATATATATATATATATATATATATATATATATATATATATATATATAAATTTAATTTATATTACGATATTATATTATATAATATCGTAATATATAATACGAACCGTAAGAGAGAAAGAATCGTTTCTTGAATATAGATATCGGGTAAAGGTGTATCGCTTTCAGGGAACATCCAGCCAATTGGTGGCGCGCAAGACTCGGATCATCTGACAGCAACTCGGGCGGTACCATTTATTTGATCAGGAGAATCGATAGACACCCTGACTTCAATCTCACCACGAGGATTAATGACATCGCTGTACTTAGAACCTCGATTAATTTAATCTTAGTACCGGGTTTGGTGGAGACAGCTTATGTTGCTGGTGGCGCTTACCCCCTTACGAATAGTCAAGCTGTCTGGGGTTTGGGATGGGGAGAGAGTTCAGTAAGTAAATATTTAAGTCGTAAGTATGTATTTATAGTTGTAATTAACTAAATAAACACTCCATAAACTAAGTTAACCCCTTCTCAGTGTATGAAGTAAAATTATAATTTTAAAAAACAACCTGACTGCGGTGAAATTGTTCATATTAGATAAATTTCATTATATACTTCGTGGATATGGATTTGTTTTATAGAGTGATAAATGAGCACACAATAAACCTGATGGTAATTGGATCTACCCATCTAGATACGTTGTCACCCCTGAGGACTAAGATGGAATGCTACGTTACCAGAAAGTTTTACCGGTTCTCTACAATTACCATAAGAAACCCAGCATCATTAAGGTATTTTACGCTGTATTCTGTGAGAGCGTGGTCATTTTCCAGTCGTGCTACAACGAACGTACGAAAATTAAAACATCTGATTATTAACGAATATAAAAAGTTATTGGTATTTAAAATATTTTTTTTTCAACAATTTGCTTAAAATTCAGCCAGTTTTTTAAATCTAACGACACCGTCGTCGGCGCTGCATGTATTGCCATGTAAGTTTTCCAAAATAATTACATTTTATTTTATTTTTTGCGAGGTATTTTTGTTTATTCTCTGAAAAGAATTCCATAAACAATATTTATCACTACACTTAAAAGCACCCTTACAATCGGATTTTTTCCCTAAATATTGTTAAAAGTGATAGATAAATTAACGCGTTCGAGAAAATACGTTTCAAATAAGCACCAAGTACGATACCAATGTTAAGTTTTAAAAGCGTAACATTGGTATCGTTACGAGTTATATCACACATCACATCACGCCGTTAAGGCTACAAAAATTGCAAAGAAACATACATAATACCCGAAAAACATAAACCAGTGGGGCAATCGAGAAAAATAAAACCCCAATAAAAGCATGTTTGAATTTAATTGAAATATTTTTTTTTGATATTTCAAGCAAGCTCTATCGTCGGGACGGCTCCGTGAAATGCAATTGTGGATAGCAGACCAGCAGTTTTGTGCCAACCGGTACAGTGACCTGGGTTTCGCTGTAACAAACAATATGCTATGCACAGGTCCACCATATGAGGCCATCAGAGGACAGTGTCAGGTAAAAATTAATATTACACACAAAAAATTAAAAATATTACTAAATATTAATAACTTTTGGTAAATAAGAATTAAAGTTGTTAAATTACAGATTTTAAACGTTCCAACGCCGGGTACAAGCTTCAGGCGTTCTCTCATTTCTAAGAGGATTATAGACTAAACTAAATGTCCCAATACGTGATGGCGGACTTCACATGTGTTCGAAATGTTTTTTTTTTTCAATTTCTCAGACATCTAGGTTTTCTCACGATTTTTTCCTTCACCGTCGATCACGTAGTAAAACAGCACTTGAAATTGCAATTAACAACTTCCGAATCCGGATTGCTCGCGTTCTGTGAAATTTACAGCGAGCGCTTAGGCCTTGAGCTACCACGGGTATATATATATAGAGTACTATTGCTATACATAGGTCTCCCCCATAGATTGCCCAATAGTGGGGGATATTTGCCATAGTTGTCACGCTAGGCAAGCGGGTTGGCAACCACAGTTTTTTTTAGTCGTTATTAGGACAACTATGCTGCTCATCTCCTGCTTTGTTTCCCTCTGTCGACTCTTATGACGTCCACGCCACGGGATGATATGTGGTAGTGGATATTCACATAACACCGCCACTACAAAATTATTATTTTCATTCTAGAATAATAATTTAAAAGTGTAGATGAGTGAAGTTAACGTGGTTGAGGTACATTATGGTTACAGCACGGGGGTAGGAGGAGATTATAGGTTGGCTACAGCAAGGAAGAGCCACGACCTCACACAGTACCATCGTAAAATACCACCTTAATGATGATGTGTTTTAATTTTTATCAGAAAGCTTTGTAGGCACGCAAACATCATATTACCAAGGTTTTATCGTAATCCGATGAATAGTATAGAGACGCATACGGGACAAACAAAGATACGTTTATATTTATTCAAATAGATTTCATTAAAAAAAAAAAGAAGTAATAGGTTCATATTATATTTTGTAAAATATTTTTCAATAATGTTAAAGAGAACTAAACTTTTGACATATTATGCAGAAAGAGTTTGTAATAATTACCTTTTGTGTTGTTACAGGGTGACCACGGTAGTCCCTTAGTGCATAATGGAGTTGTGGTAGGCGTGTTCATGAGGATGGAAGAATGTGAACTAGGATATCCTAATATTAATACACGTGTGCCTTCCTACGCTAGGTGGATTGAGGCAACAGTTGTTTCTAATTAATGCAATGGAGAGTTAAAAGAAGTTATTATTATTGTTTTAAATATGTTATTACTTTCAAACTTTAAATTTATATTAAAAATATCATAGACGCAATCACAATAATTATTACACTTTTTGATTCATTACTTCTACTATAATATTATGAGATTGACTTAGAGGAGAAAAATTAAACTTATACCTAATAAAAATGAAAAACCCACTTCAAAGAACTAGAAATAATAAATTAATAATTTCCACATACGGACGGAATGCCCATAGATTATATATTAGAGATATATAATCTATGGGCACTATCACTATATATATATATATATATGTGTGTGTGTGTGTGTGTGTGTGTGTGTGTGTGTGTGTGTGTGTGTGTGTGTGTGTGTGTGTGTGTGTGTGTGTGTGTGCATGTGTGTGTTAAAGATAGTGATAGTGCCAGATGAAGCTGTAAAAGCCAAAGAGTATATAATCACCATGTTTTGAAGGCTAACAGCCTTGGACAAAGTATCAGACTTATACAATTTATCCAAGCACTAACATCATAGAATATAGATACTAAGACATACTCGCAGTTATAGAAGAATGAAAACTTCAGAAGGTTTTGTGTGGAAATTAATTTGTCTTGCTTAGTTTTAAATCCGGCCCTTTACTTTTTAATAAAAGTTTGATTTTATACCCTTTTTGATCGGACAAGTCGTCTAAATAGTTACATTAAAAACTTCTTGCTTTAATTTATACCCACAGGGGTGTAAATGAGAGGAATAAGTACCTCTAAAGTATGTCCAATTAAAATACGACCACAATTGGCGAAATTTAAATTGATATGAATATTAGTAAGGTACTCTAAAAAAATTAACATACAGTCGAATTGAGAGCCTCTTCCTTTTTTGAAGTCGGATCAAAAAGCGCAGAAATCGAAATTGTTCGCATATATTTTGATGTACATAATTTAGTTCTACTTCAACTAAACCTAAATATTAATGTCATCATAGTTGCGCAAATTATTTTGTCAGGCACTTATCAGACAAGTATACAACAGTGACATAAAAATAGATTTAATATGTAATGTTTTTTTTAATATAAAATACGGATGTTAAATGAGGTCACAGTCCACCTGATGGTAAGTGGACGCTGGGCTACCCCTGAGGACTAAGATGGAATGCTTCCTTACCAGGAAAAAGAGCGTCGGTTCTCTACTTTCACCGTACGAAACACAGCATTATTCTGCTGTTCCACGGTAATATTCTGTGAAACACGGCATGTGATAAAACCGGCGATTGATAGTGTAACCATTTTAAAATGACTGTTATTATTTACGCGGGATGGTGAAGGGAAGCTGGCGTTAAGATATGAAATGCCTGTGATCTGTCAAGTGTGATAAGACATTCCCGTAATATGCCGTTGGGATAACCATATGTTTTATCAGTGGACTGTCCTAAAATGATAAGATATTGTAATAGTTCTTAGACATATTATAATGTGGTAGAGCCATGTTGCAGCTACATTATGGTTGTAGCACGAATGAGTCGGCTCGACCGGGGAATGACCACGTTTTCACTGAATACCAGCATAAAAAAGCAGCTTATTAATTATTGTTCCAAGTTTGATTTTCTCTTCTTTATTCAATGTTACTTGTAGGCTTATTAAATGCACGATATGTTCGTCGTTTTAACGGATCTTCGGCAGTCTTACTGATAGTGAGTATTACTTAGACAAGGTATTATTGGTATTATCTATGGTCCTGCTGATAAATTTGAAGACATTGTCAAGTTATTTTTATGTTTGTCGTGTGTTTTGTCATATGATCATAAAAATTAAAGTACTGACTTAGGTATATTTTAAATTTTGACTAAATCTTTTCTGTATGTCCTGAAAGCGTAATGCTTCAATATCGGTTACGGTGTACGTGTGTGTGTGTTTATGTGCATATCAAAAGTACCAGGATAACATAACATGAATTAGTCAATTAAATCAGTATCAAATTGCTTAGGTCTATAGTAAAAGAGCTGGGAGTGCGCCGCTCAGCTGTAAAGCGGGTAGGTGAAGTTGAACGAGTGGAATAAGTTGCCAGCATGTCTTTCCATCCGATTACAGTGTAGATGTCTTCAAGGCAAGAGTGAATAGGCTTTTGTTAAGTCAGTGCGCTTCACCATCTTAGGCTACATAACCACTAATATAAAAAAGTTAATGTGCCGTCGAAATATTGTACCTACATTTTTAATTTCTTAGACATGCCAGTTTGGTCATAATATTTTTTCTCAAACGCATGGTAATTAGTATTACCACAGAATAAATTATAGTATAAGAACGTTATTACTAGTATTAGGTATCTCGTCAAAGCTTCTAAAGCTTTTATACGTGGTAGAGCCATGCTACAACTATATTATTGATATAGTTGAAGCACGAATGGGTCGGGTCGACCGGGGAAGGACCACGCTTTCACAGAATACCAGTACTAGCTACACTACACAACCTGTACGCTCCATCAATATAACTCACTATATTTTTTTTAAAAAGGCAACAACCCATGCAACCATTGGGGATTTCCTGTTTACCCGTGCGCCCATTGCTTCGATCAACAAAATTAAGTTGATCGAAGGCCCATTGTGTCAAAAGTAAGAATGCACCTATCAAAAAATAATTCAAGACTGTGCAATAATATCAAAAACAAGAATATATTTATATAAATTAGAGAAGAGTGCGTTTAGCAGGAGGTTCCACCCAACCCCGCTACTGTAGGTTGTGGCAAAGCTTAAAATTTGACCAAAATTAACATCATAACCTTAATTCTTTGATTTTTCCCCAAAAACTACCCTATTTTTCTCGCCCCCTACTCGCGGGGCTTACACTACTTCCCTCCACCCCACCTCCCCATATCTTTAGACGAGATGCTAATAAAACTTCTAAGTTTGCGTTAACAATAAAGTCGTGTTTAGTACAGTTTTTTTAATTTATGAAACTTAACTTCACTTTAATTTCAAGCTCTTTCTTTAAGTATTTTGCCGAGACCTGTAGGTATATACTGTATGCCTATTATTACACATGTGACATGTATATCAATGTTCAACTGATTTCAAAACCGTATTTATTTTAGATTAAAGACCAATATCGCACTGATAAGATGATAAGGAATCACAAAAATATGTGTATTCCTTTAAAAATTGTAGACATTTTTATACTACATTTTATTGGTCTCAGAATTACATCATGTTGTGAGCCACTCATCCCCACACCGAGATCGCCTATTCATAGATAAATATATATGTAGCAAGCGCCTATTGTTCAATTCAACGTAACACACCTCAAAAACAACAGTATTAATATAACAAAAAAATAACAAGAAAAATATAGTATAAATATAATTCACATTTTTTAACTGGCTTTACGGCTCTGGGTTCTAGCACTTCTGAGCCTAAATATAATTCACAAGTGAATGACGATCACAGATTTACGCAATTTGACACACGACATAATAAACCGCAAAATTAGAAAAGTGATTACGCAATATTTTAAATTTGGTACAAATAAAGTGAAATGAAAAATGTTTCCGGTATTGTCCACCCCTGCTTCTGCAAAGTTTTTAGCGTTGACCCTAGAATTTAAATAATATAAAATACTGTATCTACATGAAAACTACCTAATTTCATGAGATACATAATTTCCCGGGTTCGATACCCGCCATCACCATTGAAAGTGTTAATAGCAATTTTAAGTGCTGATTTACCAGGTGCTCAGCGATGAAAGAAAACATCGCTAGGATATCTGCATGTCTGCGAAGCAAAAAATAAAAAATATTTTGAAGACATGTACGACTTAGGGACCTTCAAGAAAAGAACTTACACCTTTCTAAAAGGCCGGCAACGCATCTGCGATTCCCCTGGTGTTGCGGTTGTTCATGGGCGGCGGTAGTCACTTACCATCAGGTGAGCCACATGCTCGTTTGCCCCCTCTTCTATAAAAAAAAAGTTACACGCTTTGGGGCAGCGCGGTGGACACTTCCTTGCCATAAAACCCTTTCAGAAGTGACAGGAGGCCTGTGCCCAACTGTGACGTGGGGACGTATATAGACTATAAATTTACACTACTTACATTTACATAATTAAAATTATTACAACTAATTGTGACAGCTGGTATATAATTAAATTATAAAGTATAGGTATCAATCTTAACTATAACTATAACTAAATGTTTATTGTACTTTTGTTACAAACTGTTCTTTATAAAGAACCTTTTTTAACTTTTGCATAAGTATAGGTTGGCCTAAAAACCCATCCTGGAGGCCTGAATTACAATACCCCACTTCACACATAGGTAGCGCCTCTGGCTTTGTATTCGCGGGTATGATGGTAACTCTTGCCATTAAAAGTCATATAAAGTGGAAATACAATTGCAGCTAATTAAAATCCAAATTACTGAAACAACCGTTACTCAATTATCTAATGACTGCCACGAATAGCGCAAATAATTAAACATTAATTTAAATATGTTCCAAATTTGAAATGCATAGAATTATTAAATTCTATGTTGAAATGTAATCGAATGAAACAAATAATGTAACATTTCGTAGCGCCCTAAACGAAATATCTGTTTACGCTATCAGTCGATTGGGTACTAGGGAAACATGTGCTCGCGTCTTATTTTACTTTTTTTACTCAACGTTTCATTATTGAGTTGTGTGACAGTGAACCTACATGAGCATGGTACAACAATCACTAGTAAGTACAATTGATTATAATACATCGGTTATGAAGTTTTTTTTTTCAATTATAGTTTTTATATTACACGAGTTAAGAAATGCTTTTGAGTGCAGTTAATAATTTAAAATGAGTAACTATCGACGCGAATGAACGGTTACATTAATTGAATTGTTATATTTTCATATTGAAAGAGAAATATGTGATATTATCCTATGTTTGCAAAATACTTGAATAACAAATAAATGGGTTTTTAGTTTGCATACATTATAACAGATATGAATCTACTTCAAGAACTTGCTTGGATAACACTATAGTATCGCTTGAGATTTACATTTCAATAGATTTTGCGTGATACCTGTAAACAGGTGATGCCTAGAGGCTTAAGCGATGCACTTACAAGATCTAACTTATTGTTTTTTTTTTTATATTTGAATAATATGCCCCTAGTTGTCTATGGATCTGTTTCTTTAAATTTTAGCTACATTTGTTGTGTCCTTAGGCTGTAAAAAAATTCAGAGGGGAGTTACCTACGGACTTGATAGAATGACTTGAAGGTGGACTTTCATAACTTCTACTGGAACTCCTTGACGAGGAGAACTAGATGTGCCGAATTTGGGCTCGTCTTGTTAGTCATGAAGGTATACTTAAGTGACTGCTACTGGAACTCTGGCAAACTGAACTACAATTTATATATTGTTGGGAATGAGGGTAAAAAATAAAATAAAAGTAAATACGAACAAATTAAGGTAGAATGGTAATCTCCCACTTATTTTAGCAGTATAAAATATCACGCAGCCGACTAAGAGAAACAGTTTGTAATTCTACGAGTCTCTCTATCGTCACTATGCCCGTTGGGGTATTCTACTAGTGTAGGCAAGGAAGGTCGTGTTGCTGAGAGGCTGCCCTGTGTTACATTGAGATGGGTAGTGATGCTGTTGGTTTGCATACTTTGGTGTTATCATGTAATTGGGGTCCTGATAGTAAGTAGGGTTTGTTACCGAGGTGTTCTTTTATTTACTTAAATACTTTTGAGAATAGTTTCTAACATCAGAAGTGGAACAGTTTCTTACATCAGAAGGTGTATTAAAGCCTTTTCCTGTAGCTTTACATTGAAATATCTTACGATATATATATTAATTTTTTCACTGTCATATGAGCATTAGGAGTCGTGCAGTTTTGGATTTTCCAAACTTTTTTTTAATTGAAGTTTGTGATAAAATTTTCGGAAAATTGGAAGTATAGTAATAGGGTTATTAGTGAAAACTTGTGTGTATTTAAACTACTTTAAAATTTTTTGGTATAATCATGTTACACGTAATTTTTTTACTGTTTCCGCTGTTTTTTCTCAGGTCAGGTAATTGTCATTTTAAAACGAGATTTGAAATAATAATGTTATACAAATGAAATTTTATTCCCTAAGATTCCCTCATTTCATTTGTACAAATACCTAGGTACTAAGTTATAATAATCCTGCACGGATACCTCCATTAGTAACTAGGCGTCGCGTCGATAAATATGAGAATATCATGCGAATGCACTAGATTTTAGCTTGTAAGTGGCTACGGCTAAGCGTTTGGTGCTGCGGGCTGCGGCTTCGAATCCTACGCAGAATAATTATTAGAATGGCCTACAATTATTTTTATCGCATGTTTGTCCTAGTGTAATTATGTAAAACACCTCTATGATACACAAGAAACTCCCAGTGTGTGTGGAAAACGTTTTTTTTTTAAGATATTTAGTTGACTTTGTTTTCGTTACCAGCGGGTGTCCCCGAAATCGTTAACTACAATTTATGTTGGTGAAGCCCGCTTCTTTAATTCTTACTTCATTCTTTTCTTTGTATAATTCTATGTCCAAAAATCAAATAAACATTTGCAGAAGAATTGCCCATCCAGGTTGTGGTGGAAATGAGCACGCACTCCCACCTCATGTTTATCGCATCTATCACGGGGAGTGCTCTGAGGAATTGTTCGGACTAATTCCAGCCGCTCAATTTCACCATCGCACATCGCGACAAAACTCGCGTTACCATCTATACCATCTGGATGATTGGCGGTCCACCACTATGCGATTTAGAAGAAGTTTTCTCCCTCGCACAACTTCTTTGTGGAATCAATTACCACCAGCGAATTTTCCGGACCGATACGACTTAGGAACCTTCAAGAAAAGAGCTTACACCTTTCTAAAAGGCCGGCAACGCATCTGCAATTCCCCTGGTGTTGCGGTTGTTCATGGGCGGCGGTAGTCACTTACCATCAGGTGAGCCGCATGCTCGTTTGCCCCTATTCTATAAAAAAAAATGTCTTCGATTAACACATACCCCTCTCTGTAATGTAGGTAGGTAAGAGAATCAAATTGATTGATAATACCTACACTACATCTCATCGATTACGAGTTCAAATGCAGATGTTTTGCATTTTTCATTTAAAAGATAAAAAGGACAGAATGTTTGAGATTTTTTTAATTAAATTTTCTTCACCATTTGCCTATATTATACTTAATCTGAACTTAACTAAATTTGGCCGGTTATTTCAAAATAACCCTGTATTTAATACGTAAATACTAAAAAACACGTTTTTTGAAACCTATATCATGTAAAGGATACTGTGCGATAGATGTGCAGATTAAATATCATGTGTATATGGTGTTGCTAAAGAAAGAAATAAGGCAAGTAAAATAAAGTGAAAATATATACACGTTATTTCCCTCTTAAATCAATGAAATGGTCGAATTGCGCCCAGAAGCGATACCGACTGTATAAAATTTCTTAAACATGTTGATTCAGGATGTTTATCCATTATTGTATCCCCATCGGCACCATTGGAATTGTTAACTGCGATTTTAAGACGCAAGCAGTATTTAAAGTAAAATGAAAGGTTTCTATCGTGATTTACTCTTGCTTGCAGTCGAACAATATCAACATAAAAATGTTGTAAATTTTTATGTAATCCTCATTCGATACCAAGTGTAATTATTCGGCGAACATGCATTATATATATTATTATATACTTGCATTTATTACCTACTATCAACATGATAAGTGAGTTTGACATTAGAGACTTTATTACCGTATATCGTTTTATGACTGCTTAAAAGTCGACTATAATGATAAAAATATTTATTAATATATAATCGACTCTTTTCTTCGTGGTCTTCGTAATATGGCTACAACACGAATGTTCTACCCAGGTCTATCGACAAAGGATGCTCGCACAGAATATCAACGTGTTACAGTAGCTGTGTGCATATTATGCTGCTGTGTTTCGTATGGTGACGGGTGAAGCTTTTTAATGGTAACAAGGCATTTTTTCTTTATTTTTTAACGTTACCCCCACACTAGGATTTTCTCCTGTATCGTGGAGGCAGTTTACAAACACAAATTACACAAGGACAAACATCCAGACCCGCAACAATTATTTGCAGGCCATACAAATACTTGTTCCGTGCGGGATTCGTACCCGCGGTCCCCAGCGCACCAACTCATTGCTAAGCCACTGCGCCACGGAGCCGTCTAGTATTTCAGTTAATCGTGAATAAATGTAGGTCTCCGGTCCAAGCGTTCAGTTACCAACAGATTAAAATATATTGCCTGATATTTTATTTACAGGTAAAACAAAAGTCGAGTTACCGCCGTTTCTCGTCAAATGCAAGCTTAATGACATTGCAATAATACCAGCACCGGCAGTTAGTGAAAATAATGCACGACATTACTTGAGCAAGCCAAATGGGAAGGTCATTAAACTTGATCTCTCCGATTTCCGCTCAGATAAATTACGCTTCAATGGCAGAGCTAACGATAACGTCAGTAACTTCACAAATGCTGTTAAACCTGCAAAATACAAACTTTTTAATGTGAATCATGAAAACGCCAATAGCACAGATGATATATTTGAAAACAATCGAAGACAGATGGGTGCCACAGAGTTCATGATGGGCCCTTTCACTGATGGAGATTATGGCAATTGGGTGCTGAGTGTTTATTTTACGGATCTCAACGGAGACACCGTGGAGCTGTTCCGAGTCATAAGTGTTGAAATAGTAGGTATGAATTGTATTAATTGATAAATTTAGATGCACTTTTACTAAATAATCAAGAAAATCCTAAAAAAAACTTTTTTATGCATGCATTATCATCATCATCATTTTCAATTATTAAAATAATTACACTATTGATTATTCTCTGATATAAGTATTATATTATGTAAAGCAAGAAAATAATAATATCTATATACCGTGGTAGCTCAGATGGTTGGCGTTCTCGGTAAATTTACAATAAAATTCACAGTACGCGAGCAACCCGGGTTCGATCGCCGCCGGCACCAATGAAATTGTTATTTGCAATTTAAAGTGCTGATTTACCACGTGCTCGGCAGTGAAGGGAAACATCGTGAGGAAATCTGCATGTCTGAGAAATATGAAAAAAATATTTCGAAGACATGTGAAGTTCGCCAACACGCATTGGGGCAGCGCGACGGATATTTCCTTGCCCTAAAACCCTCTCAGAAATGTGAGGAGGCCTGTGCCCAGCAGTGGGACGTATATAGGCTGTAACTTTAACTTAACTTTTGACTATAGTAAGTACCTACTATAAGAATCTATTTAATTTTTAAAAAAAATTCTAAATCTATTTGCAAAGTTAGAAACTGGGCAGTTTTGTCTTTCTCCAGTAGGAGAGACCGAGGAGAGATGTGTCAGAGGAGAATTGTGACAAATTCGATTTCTCGGAACATATGACCGTTAGCGAGATGACAATAGAGCGCATTCATTTCCTTAATACGCACTACTATTTAACGCAGTATGTGTTAAATAGTTGTTACTGCAGTGCGACTCACGATAAGCGGTTTTAAATGTACCATTCGAACACGTTCCATCTGCATACAAAAAATTGCAAAAAGTTTTTCCCCTAAATTTTGATTGCATACATTTTTTTTGTTCTACATTTTTATGATAATTTTTCTCATATGCTTTAGTTTTCAAGTTGCATAGCATGGTATTGTTTTTTGTATTGACGTCGCGTTTTGAAATTACGAAATTATAGTTCTGACCGGTTCACGATATTTTGCATCAATACAAATTGTGACAGTATGTCACAACTCTCCTATTTTTTTGCCTTGACGTCTACAGCCCGAAGTCCTGTTGCGACTACGGGCTGATAAAAGTTCCGTCAAAGAAAAGAAACCAACCGAACAGACACAAGATTAAATCTGATGTGCGTATTGGGACACCCACCAAGAATTAAATTGCCGCCATACAAACCAAAAGAAAGGTAAACAATGTGCAAAAACGTGTTTTAAATGAGGAAAAGAAAAAGTCAATAAAATGAAGAAGATTACTAATAAGAAAAGTAAAGTTGATGACGAAGAGGATGAAGACGGAGAAGATGCATAAAATAATTGTTTTTGCTTGTGTTGCCTTGATAAAATAGATCTCAAAAGATGCCATAGTTTATTGTTTACGACACTGATACTTTTTATCTCGATGTTAAAATAAATGTTATTGGAAGTAAAGACTAGAACCGAGTTGGGGGGGCCTCGAACTTTAGGCCTAGTCGGTTTGAATAGCCTATCATGGAGAGGATGTCATGGGGGTCATGGTGGAATAGGGGCAAAAAGTTCTCATTACACTCCTAGGGGGTCAAAATGACCAAAAACCAAAAAATTTAAAATTCTTATTTCGGCTATTATCTCCGCCTCCTTCGGAGGTTCTTACACAGTCTTTACTTTCCGCATCCCACTTGTTTTAGTTCTTACAGATATGCCAAATGATGATTAAAATGATTTGTTGTAAAAAGAATGTGAAAATTATTTATCATTAATATAGGTAATGGTATTCTTTATACACGAAATTGTCTAAATACACAGATGTCACAACTTACTTTGGTATCATTCAAAACTTACCTCGGTATTAGGAGAGTTGTGACACGAGGAGAGGAGTAGTTTGTGTTTTTGAAGATTTTCTCAGAAACATTAAAACTTTTATTAATTTTGATGATTGTTGCTTAAAAATATATGGATAAAATGTATGGGTTGAGATACATTGACTTACAGAGCTCATAGATTTAGAATGTTCCTTGATTGAGATATGTCAGTTAAAATTAAAATTGTCACAACGCTCCCCGGTCTCCCTTATTCGATTAGAGCCACAAGATTGTCTGAAATTTTGTCTAAACTTCTTCATTTTTCTTTTCAGAAACAGTACCAGTGCATTCCTCGTTTCCCAGACTGAAACAAGGTAGCAACTTCAGTTTGAGTTTCGCGTATCCAATCAAGGTAGAGACCTGCGAACTTCGCCCTCCAAAATCAGCTAGTGATCGATTTTACGACCGAGATAAATCAAGGTTCGATTTCTGTGGATACACTGTCCCGAATGTGACACTAGACGATGAAGGCCTTTGGAAAATTGTCGGTGTGGGCAAAATTGTGTATGAAACAAAAGTGTATTTGAAAGTTAGAAATAAAAATTTATAACTAAATTTATATTTTTGCCTTCATTACATACAATAAACCTGAACAATATGATCAGATCTGTTAACAAGACACCTAAGTTTAGTCGGCTAATGTTATATATATATCTTAAGTTTGTTATTTAGACTACCATTAGTCGTAACATACATAATATAAGTATTACTGTTACGGCCTACAGCTGCCTATCTAATAGTAGGATCTTCCCGACCCATGAAGGAAGACCTTACAAGCAGGTGCAGGTCGGGCCTCCTAAGGCCAAAGTGGAATTTCTCTAATTACAATAAACTATATGGGGGAGCGTTCTATACTACTGCCATTCCACAGGGAGAATATTAACGGAGCTCACTTACTTATATCCAAGTCGAGTGGTCCCTCAGGATTCGGTCAGGTCGCATGTGGTTGTGTAGTGTAGCCCGGACGTCAGCACCGCTCCAAATTGAGGTAATCTTCCGCGGCGCCGTCCACAGTCACTTTCTTCGTTCGTCACGATGACAGTCCATTAACTCTATCGTACTATTAACTAACTTACAGAAACCACTAACTCTCGTTGTTATAAAGCTTAACATACAAAACGAACAGGGAGTGTCCGGATCAAAGGTCACTACCGTTTCGCGTAGCAACAGTTATTTCTAGAATATCAAAGGCCGCATTAGCTAATATTGTCGAATGCACTTATACAGATTCTGAGTCAGACACAATGAGTCCCGGGGAAGCTCTCCAGCAAGGAATGCGCGTTACAAATCCTAGACAGTATATTTACTAGCCGCGCCTAATTATTCCGAGTTCCCGAACAAAAATTGACAGCGTGCTGACGTTAGCACAGCTGGCAGACGACTCGTTTGCACTCGCGCGCTCTCGACACATCCAAGCCAGCCCGAACTACAAAATCGGTATGGCACCGAGCCGCGCGCCCTCTGACGTCGATTCCGAAACCACCGTTCGGGCGTAAACAATTACATATACATAGCGTCACTCGTAATCCTCGAGTGTTGAAAAGTCCAAAGAGTTTTAATTGAAAGTTGTGAAAAAAGTGGCAGGTTAGCCCATCGCCCACACAATCCAATTATTCCATTAGACGCCTTTTACGATATACGGGACAAGTAACGCAGCCATATTTTTTTTTGTGTAATATCCTACATGAAACATGGAACCTATAAGTCCCAGATCAACATTATAATAATTGAGTCATCTAATAACAAAGGCGGCAATATCCACTCAAGGTCAAAATTTAACTATGAATGTAGTTTTATTGTCTGTGGACGTAGTTTTGTAAAGAAATCTACATTACGCATCAATTACGGCATTATCCCATAGAAAATGGAGCTCAAAGTTTGGAGCTCGTAACAAACCCGGCATTATCCTGTACCGTTCAAATCAAAGATGGCAACATCCATGTGGACCAATCAGAGCGCAGAATTTCATAAGCGTTGAGGTTGTTAACGCTCGTGAAATAGTGTTAGTGTTTTTATTGTTTACTAATGAATACTGTATTTTTTTCTAAAAACTTTGGTTAAAATTGTAATTATGGAGTGTCTAGCATCGCCGAGTACATCGGGGAAGACCAGAAAACGTACGGCTCATCCAGAAAACTGGAAACAAAACATAGCTAAACGGCAACGGTAAGCACACAGATGGCACAGATTTGATACTTGATTTTATTAGCATGAATTTTTTTCGAAATCAGTTTTATTCAAAAGTGCATGTAATTTGGTCATAATTTTAAAACTTTCTTTGAGCAAAGTCTGCATTAATACGATATTCGAATGAGCAAAGTTGTATGGGATTTCATTGCGTTCAAATGTTTTGTGGCCAGATATTTTCTTTTAAAATCTATTATTGTCAAGTTTTGTTCCAATAGTTATTTGTTACAGATCGAATAGATAACTTTTTAGTACGAGTGCTGATTTTAAATTCCGACCTAACGATATAGACAATCTAAATAGAATCACGAGCGTAGTGAGTAGTGCCGTATTGCCAAATTTTACCACGTTGTACCAAGTTGTATCAAGTTATTTATTTTATGTGCTTTTGTTGCAGATATTCCCCTAAGGAAAGTCCAAATAGAGAGATATTAGAGACCTGCAGAACTTTCAATTAACAAAATGTGGAAAATGTACAACAAACAGCCAAATCTTGAAGCAAATTTAAAAGTCAAAAAAGGTCTGTTTAGAAAAATTTTCAATAACAACTATAACCTCGGTTTTGGCAGTCCTAGAACAGATGTATGCTCGACATGTATTCTACTTCTAGAAAACATTAAAAGAGAATCAGATGAGGCACAAAAGCAAAGACTTATGGTAGAACATAGGGTTCACAAACTTAAAGCTAAAGCATTTTTTAATTTAGTGAGAGAAGAAAGACCCAATTTAAAAACATTCTCATTTGATTGTGAAAAAATCTACCATTACCAAAAACACCTGATCAGATAACTTATTATTCCAGACAGCTTTATCTATATAACTGTACTATAGTAGAAGGTTCATCAAAGGCTCCTCTGACAACACAAAATGTATTCGCCTACTGTTGGACCGAAAACCAATATGCCAAAGGAGATAGCGCAATAGCTTCCATAGTATATCACAGCTGATGAACACAAATTTGACAGATATAAGTACGATCAGATTGATAGCAGATGGATGTCCGGGGCAAAATAAAAACTCGATAATGATAGCGATGTGTTCGAAGTGGTTAAGTAGTTCGGCACCTGATCACGTGCAAAGAATTGAAATAGTTTTTCCTATCGTAGGACACTCTTTCATTCCACCGGACCGCATATTTGCTCATGTGGAAAAGGATGTGAGAAAGTTGGAGTGTATATTAAGACCGGAGGATTACCTTGAGATTATAGGCACTTATAGCACAATAGTTCGTATGGGTTCTGATTGTGAAGTCCTAAACTTTAAGAGTGGAATGAGTTCAGTTATAAAGGATGTCTGCTCTTGGCACTTCCAATTTAAACATTGCAAAAGATTTTTAATACAGCGGTCAAAAGAAATTGGTAATGTTGTAATTTAAGGGGAAGTGCACTATACTAATAATTTGGGTGTATTGAAGAAAATAACTCTTAAAAATAAAAAGGCCTCTGATTTGAACCCTGAAGTGATTACTCAAAACATTGTGAGAATCAAACCTGCAAAATTGGTAGACGTAAAAAAACTATTAACCACTTATTTTGGAAACGAATGGGAAAATGAGGAGGGATTTGATTTTTATAGAAGTGTTTTATCACAAACATCAAGCCTAGAAGAAGAGGAAGATGCATCACAAGAAGTTACTTGTGAATTGCAAGTCGAGGAAAGATGTCTATAGTTTAAGAGTACTTGATTTTCTGAAGTTTACCTAAGGATAATAATACTTGTTTTTTTTTTAATTGCATGATTGTTTATTTTGTTGAAGTTTTACGTAAAGTGCCATTCACTATATTATATTTTTATAAAAACCAGCGACTGATTGATAAGTAATAAAAAAGAGTTTGATTATTACTACGGCTATTATTTTAAATTTTTACTTCAAATATCAAGATTGTGGTGACCAGATACATTATGGTGATCATCGGTAACAAACATGGCTATCTCCATGCCTGTCTAAAACAAACACGGCAATATTCGAAACTTTCAAACAAAGTCGGGAATCTCCAACGGTTATTTGTGAATTCTGCTTTAAAAAGGCAATATATGTTTAATAAAACAGAGTAAAATGATCATTCTCATTGTACATTCCATATTTAAAAAATATCTAAGTTAAGGGATAAATAAATTTCACAAAATACGTTTTTATCACTTTACACAAATTGATATTGCCGCCTTTGATATTAGATGACTCAATTGTAATACATATATTATGCATAATAACAGTGGTGAATGTTTAATTAATAGAATCAGGCGTTACTTTGCGGAAATCCATTATATAAAAGCTTTTATAAAAATTTACTTCGCAAATATCCGCGTTATAAAATAAAATGATGTGTCTTACCTAGTATGAAGAAGCACCTCCCGCCCTCCCTCAATTGCGTGCACTATCCCCGTCACCACTAATCCCAGCACCGCTACTTCCAACACCACTACACTAGGCAAGACACACCACTGACGATAATACGACACGTGTTTCGCCTCTACACGAGGCATCCTCAGGTGATATAGACTCTACGGTGGCTAACCGCTAAGTGAGCGGCGAGCCAAAACAAGTGCCTTTTATACAAACCGATGATGCAACCGCTCTCCACCTAGCGAGCGACTGCGTCATGCGATAAAACATGCGACCAATCACCGCTGGACTTACGCAGCCGTTTGTAAAATTAAAAACAAACCGCCGCGCAACGCCCACATTATTAGAGAGCAGGCTTGAAGATATTTAAGAGAGGTGAGTTAGTAACATTTGTTTGTTCATTCAGCAATGCAACGGTATTATTATCACTTTTTAATATCTCTAACTGCTCCAGCACACACAGCCGCAGCCCTTTATTACACGTATGTAAGACTTTAAAGGAGTGGTCGTTGGCTAGGTTGTGTCCAGTGTCCAAAAGATGTTTGGCAAAATGGGATTTATCGGGATTGCAATTCCTGTACGCGGCTAAATGCTCTTTATAACGTGTCTCGAAATTGCGACCAGTCTGACCCACGTAAACGGCGTGGCATTCGTCACAAACAAGTTTGTAAACACCTGACTTTTGACGAATATCCAACTTATCTTTACTATTACAGATATATCTAAGAGAATTGTTTGTTTTGAACGCCACATGAACGCCGTTTTGTCGAAGAGTATTAGCTACTTTTTCAGATATGGGGCCTAAGTAGGTCAAACTGCTCACATATCGATGAACACTTTGGGGTTGAACCGCGTACAGAGAGTTGCGAATAACATGCTTTTGTTTCTTTTTAATTAAATTGTTAATGAGATTTTTTGAAAAACCGTTAGAGACCGCTATTTGATTTTTTTTTTTTTTTTTATAGGATAAGGGTGACAAACGAGCACACAGTCCACCTGATGGTAAGTGGTTGCTGCGG